GTCACAGGCCATAACAGAGAAGGTGCTAGGTCCGGAGCATCCTGATGTGGCCACGGTGCTCAAGAAGCGTTGTTGCTGGCTAATCAGGTTGGTTTTGGACAATTTGAGCACCGTAGTCACATCACGGTGTTCCGGATCTAGCACTTTATCTGTGATGGTCCATCACCCCTCGAGCAGTGGCTAGGCCTCAATATACCTGCCTTGGCATGCAGTACGACTGAACGACACGGCAAGTACGTTGAGGCCGAGCCGCTGTACGAGCGGTCACAGGCCATGACAGAGAAGGTGATTGGTCCAGAGCAACCTGACTTGCGACGGTGCTCCAGAGACGAGCGTTGTTGCTGGCTAATCAGGTGAGTTGCAGACAATTTGAGCACCGTGGCCACATCACAGTGCTCCGGATCTAGCACCTTATCTGTTGTGGCCTATGACCGCTCGAGCAGTGGCTCGGCCTCAAGGTACCTGCCCTGGCTTTCAGTCCGTACTGCATGCCAGGGCAAGTACGCTGAGCCCGAGCCACTGTATGAGCAGTCACAGGCCATAACAGAGAAGGTGCTAGGTCCGGAGCATCCTGACGTGGCCACGGTGCTCAAGAAACGTTGTTGCTGGCTAATCAGGTTGGTTTTTGACAATTTGAGCACCGTAGTCACATCACGGTGTTCCGGATCTAGCACTTTACCTGTGATGGCCCATCACCCCTCGAGCAGTGGCTAGGCCTGAATATACCTGCCTTGGAATGCAGTACGACTTAATGACGGGGCAAGTACGTTGAGGACGAGCCGCTGAACGAGCGGTCACAGGCCATACCAGAGAAGGTGCTTGGTCCAGAGCATCCTGACTTACGACGGCGCTCAAGATATGGGCGTTGTTGCTGGCTAATCAGGTGAGTTGCAGACAATTTGAGCACCGTGGCCACATCACGTTGCTCCGGATCTAGCACCTTGTCTGGTTTGGCCTGAGACTGCTCGAACAGCTGCTCGACCTCAATGTGCTTGCCCTGGCATGCAGTTCGTCCTGCATGCCAGGGCAAGGACGCTGAGGCCGAGCCATTGTACGAGCGGTCAAAGACCATACCAGAAGAGGTGCTAGGTCCGGAGCATCCTGATGTGGCAACGGCGCTCAAGATATGGGCGATACGTGTTGGCTAATCAGGTGAGTTGCAGACAATTGGAGCACCGTGGCCACATCACGTTGCTCCGGATCTAGCACCTTTTCTGGTACGGCCTGTGACCGCTCGAAAAGCTGCTCGACCGCATTGTGCTTGCCCTAGCATGCAGTCCGTCCTGCATGGACGCTAAGGCCGAGCCACTCTACGAGCGGCCACAGGCCATACAAGAGAAGGTGCTTGGTCCAGAGCAACGTGACTTGCGACGGTGCTCAAGATACGGGCGGTGTTGCTGGCTAATCAGGTGAGTTGCAGACAATTTGAGCACCGTGGCCACATCACGGTACTCCGGATGTAGTAGCTTTTCTGGTACGACCTGTGACTGCTCGAACAGCTGCTCGACCTCAATATGCTTGCCCTGGCATGCGATCCGTCCTGCATGCCAGGGCAAGGACGCTGAGGCCGAGCCATTGTACGAGCGGTCAAAGACCATACCAGAGAAGGTGCTAGGTCCGGAGCATCCTGATCTGGCAACGGTGCTCAAGATACGGGCGTTAATTGTTGATCAATCAGGTGAGTCGCAGACAGTTTGAGCACCGTGGCCACATCACGGTGCTCCGGATCGAGCACCTTTTTTGGTACGACCTGTGACCGTTCGAACAGCTGCTCGACCGCACTGTGCTTGCCCTGGCATGCAGGTCGTCCTGCATGCCCGCTAAGGTGGAGCCACTCTACGAGCGGTCATAGGCCATACAAGAGAAGGTGCTTGGTCCAGAGCAACCTGACTTGCGACGGCGCTCAAGAAACGGGCGTTGTTGCTGGCTGATAAGGTGAGTTGCAGACAACTTGAGCACCGTGGCCACATCACGGTGCTCCGGATCTAGTAGCTTTTCTGGTTTGGCCTGAGACCGCTCGAACAGCTGCTCGACCTCATTGTGCTTGCCGTGGCATGCACTCCGTCCTGCATGCCAGGGTAAGGACGCTGAGGCCGAGCCACTGTACGAGCGGTCAAAGGTCATACCAGAGAAGGTGCTAGGTCCGGAGCATCCTGATCTGGCAACGGTGCTCAAGATACGGGCGCATATTGTTGGTCAATCAGGTGAGTCGCAGACAATTTGGGCACCGAAGTCTTATCAGAGTGCTCCAGACCTAGCACCTTGTCTGTCATGGCCTGTGGCCGCTCGAACAGCTGCTCGGCCTCCATGTGCTTGCTCTGCATATGGTCGCTCAAGAAACGGGCGTTAATTCTTAGCTAATCAGGTGAGTTGCAGACAGTTTGAGCACCGTGGTCTTATCAGAGTGCTCCAGACCTAGAACCTTGTCTGTGATGGCCTGTGGCCGCTCGAACAGCTGCCCGGCCTCCATGTACCTGCCTTGGCATGCAGTACGGCTGAACGCCAGGGCAAGTGCACTAAGGCTGAGCAACTCTACGAGCGGTCACAGGCCATACCAGAGAAGGTGCTAGGTCCGGAGCATTCTCATGTGGCAACGGTGCTCAAGAAACGGGTGTTGTTGTTGGCTGATCAGGTCAGTTGCAGGCAATTTGAGCACCGTGGGCACATCAGGGTGCTCCAGACCTAGCACCTTGTCTGTCATGGCCTGTGGCCGCTCGAACAGCTGCTCGGCCTCCATGTGCTTGCTCTGCATATGGTCGCTCAAGAAACGGGCGTTAATTCTTAGCGAATCAGGTGAGTTGCAGACAGTTTGAGCACCGTGGTCTTATCAGAGTGCTCCAGACCTAGAACCTTGTCTGTGATGGCCTGTGGCCGCTCGAACAGCTGCCCGGCCTCCATGTACCTGCCTTGGCATGCAGTACGGCTGAACGCCAGGGCAAGTACACAAAGGCAGAGCAACTCTACGAGCGGTCACAGGCCATAACAGCGAAGGTGATTGGTCCAGAGCATCCTGACGTGGCCACGGTGCTCAAGAACCGGGCGTTATTGCTGGCTTATGAGGTGAGTTGCAGACAATTTGAGCACCGTG